CGGCCTGGTTTTGCAGCTGCAACTTGAAGCGCAAGGGTGTGCTAGGCCCCTGTCCGCCGGCTGGCTGCAGGCTCTCTGCACCCGGGCTCAGCCACGGCCCGGTTTTAGGGTGGAAACGCTTGACCTCCCACAGCCAAGCATCACACACAGTTGTTGTATCCGTGTCACCAAAGGACGGGGAGGTGACGAGCGAGCAGAAGAGACCGTGCTCCACCCCGAGAAGGCGAAGTCGTCCGCCACTGCCTGACTGGTGGGGCAAGAAGTTACAAGGGTGTGGAGAGGATCGCACGCACTTGGCTGTGGAGTGTTACTGTTTCTGTGTTGTTTTTCTTTTAAGTGTTCCATCAGATAGATGCCTTGGTCCCGGTTCCTGCTGCCTCTCAGACAGGGGGGATTGAGGCATCGAGGCAGATCCTGGCCTGCCGTTTTCAGGTGACGGGTGTGTTCCACTGTCACCGAGCTGTACGCGGCTTTCTTGAATGGAGGAATACGGCAGCAGAGGGCTGAGATGAATGTTGCTCAGTGGTGAATGGTCCTCAGGACCCCCTCGTCAGTTACAGGTGTATGATTGCTAACACGTAGACCTGGTATGTACAGATGTTTTCTCGGAAGTTTAGGAAACCCTTGATGATTTCTCCTTTGGGAGAAAAAAAAAACAGCCTCAAGCAATACATCTTATCCCTAAAATTTACTATACTCTCAGCTCAGTAATTTTGAGGTATTTGGAGGCAGCCCTTTTCAATTTAGAAGTGCAATAAAAATTATCCTATGATTTGTCAAGAATCTATTCATCCTGCGACAGGGAAGAGAGACAGGAAGATCAGGGCAGAGTCTTCCAGTGTTTCTCAAGCTTTAACTATGCTCTCAGGTGTCAGCTGTAATTGCAAGGTGACTCACAGACTGTGTTTGTATTCACCTGAAACAAACCTTCGTTCTAGCTGAGGTAGATAGGACACAGACAGTATATCCAGCAGAGCCAGAATTACTAGATAGTTAATGTCTCCCCAGATCCCTGTATGGTAACTTTAGAAATCTTCATTATCATAAAGGTTGCTATTGTTTAGGCAAAATTTACTTTTTTGCAAGATGGTTTATAGTAATCTAGTAGGTACCCAGTAATCTCTAGGATGGATCAAGTCAGTAGCTTAATTTGAATAAAGTCTGTAGCTTTAATAATGGAAAGAACCATTTAATTACAGGCCAGGCTCCATAGCAAAAGGAGAAGGATGAAAGAAACACTAAGTAGGATTTCATTGGCACCCAAGCTCAGTATCTCAGCCTTTCTTCCATTTGGGTAACCAAGACTGCTCCTAAAATATTCTGAATTTCTGAAGTCCATATACATGTACACATTTTCATTTGTAGTAAAACAGATATTGGGGACCTGTTGTGTGAACTCTAGGTCTTTTTAGAGACCAGTTTACACTCCGCTTGCCCATGGGTAATTTTGAAATACTATCCTGCAAATTCAGAAACCTTTAGAAACATCATGTTACACGAAGAGTAGAAGAATCTATAATTGTCTTGCTTTCCGTAGAGGGATCTGGTCTTATCTCTCAGTCTTTCTTTTTGGCTAGCTCTCTTCTTAAAAGCTTCTTGCTTTTTATTTTATTTTTAGTTAACTCATAAATTATTTGCTACATATTGTACACTGTGCATATTATTTATGGAAAGGTTTTATCCCTTGCCATCTCTGTCAGCCCTTCATTACTGTCCCTGAATGTGCTGGGCTTGTTTCTTCTGAAGACCTCCTATCTTCTCTGCCAGTCTGATTGTATGGAGTTTCTCTGTGAAGACTCTGCTCCTTTTGGACCCCCTTAGGGGAGCCATTCCTGACTTCCAGCCTTTACTGTGAGTCTGTTTACTGGGTCTCCCCAATACTGAAGACTTCGGATAATCTCATTCACCAACACTCCATTAGGTCATGAAGAGGACCTTTTTGAGACCTCTTGTCTCCTGGCTTCCTCTCTTCCCTCTTCCTACAAAAGACTATGCTGGGTCTAGGATTAAGTCCAAATTGTCTCTCAGGAAAAGGTTGTGTGTATATTTAGGTGTTTTATTAATTTCTGCACTATTGTATTGGACTATATATAGCCCTATGGTAGGTACCAAATGAAAGGTAACTTCTTGCCTGTCTGTTTGGTAGTGCTAAACTGTATTGTGACCCTCAGAGTCAGCTTTGCCCGCAGCGTCTGGAAAGCAAAGGCTTCAGGATGTGTCACCCTGTCAGGGATGTTGCAGAATCTGCTACACAGTAGATTATTGAAGTGATTGACACTGAGGCTTTTTCCGGGTCTTCAGGTTATCGAGGGACTGTGTATATTTGAGACTGCCAGCAAATATACGAATGCCTTGAGGGCCGAATGTGTGTATTCATCTTAATGCAACTTAGTGCTTTTCAAACTATGGGTCATGACCCATTCGTGAGATTGATATGATGAGCTATAATTAGTGTTTTTTTTTTTAAATAAAGTCAAAAATTATACAAGCATAATTTAAGTCACCTGAAGGTGAGGTGGTTATAAAGTTAATGCCTTTCATTTCTCAGAAAGGTTTCAGGGCTGGATAGATGACTCAGCTAACACTTGTTACTCTTGCAGAAGACCCAAGTTTAATTCCCAGCACCCGAACCATCTGTAACCCTAGTTCCAGGGGATGCAACAGGCAGACACATGATGCACATACATGCATGCAGGCCAAACATTCATGCACATTTAAAGGAAAAATGAGTGAATCTTAAAAAGATTTTTTTTTTTATTTTAGGAGTTTGAAAAACAGCTGGTCAGCGGTGGAACATGCCTTTAATCCCAGTACTTGGTAGGCTGAGATGGGAAGCTCTCTGTGAGTTTGAGGAGATTAGCTTAGTCTACATAGTGAGTTCTAGGACAGCCAGAACCCTGTTTCTAAAAACCAAACATATGAAAGAAAGCAACAAAAAAAACCCACCTGTTTCAGTCCTGATTGACTAGAAAGCAACTCAGGAAATGGAAATGACAAGTGACTACTGCTATATTCCAAGGCAACACTTCTCATTCTTTTTGGGGGGGGATGGGGAGGTTGAGACAGGGTTTCTCTGTGGCTTTGGAAGCTGTCCTGGAACTCGCTCTTGTAGACCAGGCTTGGCTGGGACTCACAGAGATCTGCCTGCCTCTGCCTCCCGAGTGCTGGGATTAAAGGCATGCGCCACCACCACCTGGCCTAACATTTTTCATTATTAAAAGTAAAATAAAAGATATCAAACCTTTTGAAAGTTGGGATGTTTTAAATATATAGGTGTTTACAGTAAAACACAAAGTAAATTTTCACAGGTGTTGGTAAAACTGGTAATAATTATGTTTCTATCCAGATTTAAATTTAGGTGTTGATGAGAATGGAGTAGTTTTAGCACACAGAAGCCCAGTCTAGCCTAGAACTCCTGTCTCTCACCTTATCTTCTGGAGTGCAGGCATTCCAAGCATGCACCAGCACACACGACTCTTACTGCTGTTTCTTTGTTTGAGGTCATAAAGTGGCAAGCTGAACTTGTTGCACTAGGGTAGGCTGGGGAGAATCAGGGGTGAATATGGGAGTGTCCTGGAGTCAGAAGACTTGGTCAGTTGCCTGGTTCTGAACAAGTCATTTGACTTCACTGTCTCTCAGACACAGTGTCATTTTTTAAAAATTTTTATTTCGTGTGCGTTGGTGTTTTTATGTCTATCATGAGGGCATCAGATCCCCTGGAACTGGAATTAAAGACAGTTGTCAACTGCCATGTGGGTGCTGAGAATTGAACCCTGGTCCTC